CAGAGAGGAGAAAAGCTAGGAATCAAAGACAGTTATTGCAGGGGGGGGTGTGGTCCATATTGATTTAGTTTGTTTTCATTGCAGTAAGTTGCAGAAGTTCTGTTGCCAAGGTCTTTATTACTTCTTGTATTTTTCTTTTCCACAGCTTTCCTGTTTGTGCATGGAACCTGTGTCCTCTTTGTGCACCCTTGATACCCTCAGCAAAAAGTCATTTCATTGATTCATCCCCAGAGGCTTCCCGTTTAGTGAGAGGGGCTCGTGTGTTGGCAAGGAGAGAAACTGATGGCTATTACTACCTGGGCCACATTGCCCAAGAGGTGAAGGTAACTATTTATTGGGAACTGTGCTGTGAGAGCATCGGTGGGTTTTTTTCCCTGTTGTCCTCATTCCTCACCAGTCACATGTCCTTGTTGTGGGGTGGCTCTCCTGTGATACAGGGCACTTCATAACCCCTGTTGTGTACCCACATCCTATTTTAATCTGTTACCTGTCACCTGGTGCTGACTGGCTGTTTACTGTGAGGAACCCTGCAAGAAGAAGGAGCCTGGAGATCAGTCCATTTTTGTAGTTATAAAAAGGTTTTATTCAGAAACAAACAGAACAGGTCTCTTATCCCTGTTGTCTGCTTCTGCCCAGTCTAGCAGCAAAGTCGGTTAGCTAAATAGCAACTATTAATCCAAAATGTCTGTCTCCAGGGTTCACTTCCTCTTTACCAAACTGAGAGCTTTCCTCATTCTCTCCCATCTATGTTTCTGGGAATTGCGGGGTGATTTTGGATGCAGGCTTTCTTTAAAAACCCAGTTCATTCACAGTTGCATTTGCAGCTTGTTTAACTGAACTGTTAGTGTAGATGAGTCTCTAAGCTCCAGTGTGGAGTGGTACAGATGGGGACAGTTACAGGCACAAGTGGCATGACTGGAGTAGGAGCTGAAAGTATTATTTGTGTAAGTGCACTCACAGATCTGCAGACAAGGCTGAGATTTCAGTAATAGATCTTCCCCATACCCACTGCTGAAGGCTTAAATTAAAACATTTCAATTTTTGACAGTTATGACATTTTACTGGTTTGTTACCCTTCTGACTGCTGTGTAGAGAACTGCATCATGCGTAGCAGTTTCTTTTGGCTACTCACTTTCTTGTGGGAGGTTTTCCTGGTGAAGTTCTGCCTTAGCACGCTAAATGTGTTCTCACTAAAATCTAAATCCAAAGCGAAAGGAAGAGAAGGGCTGTGAGCCCCCTTAAACCCCAGCGTTTTATTTACTTTTAAATTCCAATATGGATGCAGTGCAGTGAAAAATCTAGTAGAAGAGGAAAACTGCATTTCCAGATCACGTCCTGCTTCCTGGGATTTCTGCCACTTCCCTCTTAGCGCTTAATGTTTGGCCGTTAATTGGACCCAGATGTCTGCCTTGCAAACCGCATGTTTTACTCTTGTAGGGCTCCAGGGAACGCTTTGTAATTGAGTTTGACAAAAGTCGTGCTCGGAAAGGCAAGGTACAGCTCCGCCTGCAGGAAACGCCTCTCTACGACATTCTCCACTACGAGGATGCCAGGAGACAGCGTCTCACTCCTGGAGACAGGGTCTTGGCGCCGTGGGAGGCTAGAGCTGAACGTTTTGGCCCCGGCACTGTGCTAAAGGTTGTGGAGAGCAAGGAGGAACATTTAGGTACGGGGTGTTTTGGTTTTCTTAGTAGAGCTGGATTCACCATAAGGGCTGGTCACTGTAAGGGAAAGGGAACAGTCTCCATCCCGGAGAGTTCACCACCTGCTGCTTGGGTTCTCTTCACTGTATTTGTGTTGTTGGCGCTAAGCAGCCTGTTCTTTTTCAGTCTCAGAATTAATGCAGCTCCCAGAATGTGTGTTTGCTTTATTCTGTGAGTCAAAACTTCCTGAAAAGCTGGGGGTTGGGCATGGCACCCTCCCAGCGCAAAGCAAAAAATGTTCCTGGCCCTCATGAGTATTCACCTGATTGCCTATCAGTCTAGTTCCCTGCTATTTCAGCATAAAATCCTGCCTCACTGCGACAAGTGAGAATTTTGTTATCTCCCGTCTCCTCATAGGAAGTTCAAAAGAAGGTGACATTTTAAACCCTTAAAGAAAAAAAATCATCAAAGTTGTTACAAAACTGTCTGAAACATAAGTCATTATTTTGACTCCAGCTTTCTACTGCTAATTTTTTGCCGAGCCCAGGTTTGCCGAGCGCAGGTTTGCTGAGCCCGGCCTTGCTGAGCCGGCTTTGCCGAGCCCAGCTTTGCCAAGCCCGGCTTTGCTGAGCCCGACCTTGCTGAGGCGGCTTTGCTGAGCCCAGCTTTGCTAAGCCAGGCCTTGCTAAGCCAGCTTTTCTAAGCCTGGCTTTGCCAAGCCCGGCTTTGCCTAACCCAGCCTTGCCGAGCCCGCCTTTGCTGAGCCCGGCCTTGCCAAGTCCGGCTTTCCTAAGCCCGGCCTTGCTGACCCAGCTTTCCTAAGCCTGGCCTTGCTGACCTGGCCTAGCTAAGCCCAGCCTTGCTAAACCCGGCCTAGCTAAGCCAGGCCTAGCTAAACCTGGCCTAGCTAAGATGGGCCTAGCTAAGCCCAGCCTAGCTATGCCTGGCTTAACTAAGCCAGGCCTGACCGAGCCCGGCCTTGCCGAGCCCGGCCTTGCAAAGCCCAGCTTTGCCGAGCCCGGCTTTGCCGAGCCCGTCCATGGGCTTAGCTCGACCTAGTGTCCCAGTTTAAATGAGACAAGGGTCTTTTGCTGAGGATGGGTTAAGAGAAAAGACCCAAACTTCTCTTTCTAGGCAATTATAAATCCAAAATTAATAGGCTCCAATTGAAGGAAAACAAATTATGGAAAAGGGAAAAATAGCAGCCCTTTATTAAAAAGTATATGTGTATCAACAGAAACACGAGAAAAAAACCAATAAAACAACCAAACAACACTCCTATACCCACAAATAACCCCTTCCAAAACAAACCGATAAACTGGCAAAAGGAAGAGTAAAACAGTTCAATTTTTTTTGCACCCTTTGGTGCAGTTCCAACCACAGTCAGCAGGGGGGGTTGTCGGGTCACTGGAGATGCAAAACTTGCAATGTCCTGTACCATTCACCGGGTGGTGCTGTTGGATCACCGGAGATGTAGAACTTGTAGTGTCCTATAGTAGCCACCAGGTGGCGCTGTTGGATCACTGGAGGTGCAGGACTTGTAATGTCCCGTGCCCGTCACCAGGCGGCGCTGTGGGATCCCCGGTCACTGCCTCGTGGGATGGGGAAAAACAACACTCTCCTGGTATGTCAGAGGGAAAGAAAATAAACAAACCAAAACCCAAAAAGAACAACTCAGTTCCCCTTCTCTTCCCACACTGGGAAAGGAGAGAGGGAATGGGGCGGGGGAAGGGGGAAGGAAAAAAAAACAGCAATAAAACAGAAAGTTCTCCCAATGGAAGAAAACTCACAAACTTCAGCTGGTTAGGATTTGCTTTAAGCAGGGCCTGCAGCCAGCAGCAGCTAAGCAGAGAGCAGCAGCAGGATTTCAAAGGAGCTCCCTTGTACAATTTTCTTTATTTTACCTTTTTTTTCTTAAGGAACTGCTATTATCACTGGTGCTGCACTCTTGTAAAGAGCATACCTTTTTACACTCCCACTTTTGGTTGAGCAGTGTGCCACAAAAGGTGTAACATGTTTCTAAGTATACACAGAATGTCAGGCAACAACATTTAAATTTTGTATCTAGTTTGGTTCCGGGCATTACTCAAAACAAGGTATCACATATATTGTATTTATTTTAGCATAATTCTGTGTAAAATAAGAACATGTTTCCATAATAGCCCTGAGAGTTCCAGCAAATAAACTTTGCCACATCCATTCTCCTTCCCTAAATATCCCTCTGAAAAGAACAGGTACATTTCTGGTTATCCAGAGCTGATAACAGCATTCCCTGTGACACAGACACTGTTTTGTTAACCATCAGTTTACCAATTCATTTGTAGCATTCTCCTCATTTATTCACAAAGACCAAAAGGTGTGGTTATTGTAACCAAGGGCCCTACCTGGAAAGGTACCCGAGTATCTTTCTGACCCTCTTTGGAGGCTGCCAGCCTGCCAGCCAGACTGTATGCCAAACAGAAACCCAAGCCCACC